GTTAAGAGGTTGAGTATAATATTGTTTTCTTCTTTTGTGTTTTTTGAGTCTTTTATAGATTTCTAGGCAATATGCTGGAAATGGACGTATTTGAACGTGTAAGTGTCGAGAAATATCAAGTCACACATCATCAAATACCTAAACACACAATAGTCCAAAATATTATGAAACCAAGAAAAACAAATATGTATCTACTGATCTTTATTACACCGGTCATGAACACCGGGCTGACGAGCCTTCACTCACCTATTCTCATATCCGGAAATATGAACGAGGCTGAAAAACTTGGTGAACCTTAAAGCCATTTTCTCAATCAGTTTTTCATTCGTATACAGCATGAAGATCGGACTAACGAGTCTTTCATGATATCTAATTTTTTAAATTTACAATATCAAATTTTCTTTTATGTAATGTAATTAAGTTTTTTAATAATATTATTGAAAAAACTAAAATATATTAAAATAATAATATTTATTGATAAGAGATATAATGGAGATAAAATTTATGGGTTAAGGTTCTCAAAATTATATTTAACTAAAATTATTAATATTATATAAATGATATACCGATAACTGGTTTAGAGTATCTCACCAATGAAAATGCTCTCATACCCTATCAAATGTCACAACTCGAAGGCAAATTAACACAAGTATAATCATTCAATAATTATTACTTATAAATGATAAATGATACATGGAGAATGTAATTCAAACCTCCAACAACAATGAAAAACCTTAGCGCTATGTGTTTTCAATTCTGACTACTAATTAACTAAACATAGTAATTACATAACCAATAATGTTAAAGTGAAATAAAATGCACTATTTCGTATTCGTCGAAATTGAATGTAGTATACCGTATTATCAAAATTCCAACAAGACGCAACTGATAAAAAGTATAATACAAGAAAGAAGTTTCCAATATATATTTACGAAGAATCATGATAAGCGACCCTTGAAAGCATTATTAAGATTGTCATTATTTGTAGATTTCAAGAAACAAAATGTATTGACCATACTACATTTCTTACCAATTTCCAAATTTTTAATGCTTTATTTTCTGACTATCTATTTTTATACAATTTTTAGGATTGGTGAACACAATTAGTTCATGTTTAATCACCTTCCAATTTTGAAAGGAATCAAAGCTATAGACATTGCCATTTTCTATGATATGAAAATGTCCTAATACACTTGGTCCTTTTCATTGAATTAATATGTCCTTCCGAAACCCAATTCCAATTTGAAAACAAATCATATATATGAAAGTAGAAGAACCCTCTCCAGTTGTGTGACACGTCAGCATACGAGAAAGAGACACGTGTCCCAAAATTAATGTTGACGATTGGAGTCCATCCGTTTTGTAGAGTCTCCTTTTCAACTTCCTATTAGGGTTTAATTTTTCGTTTCCATCTTAAATCCTAATTAACTTATCATTCATCATTACATCTAGCTTTACATATTGGTCTTAGGTTCAGAACAAAACCAAAGACCTCGAAATAATTTCCTCTGTTTCCCGGGAGAAAAAGAAAAAAGGTTGAATGGAGGATTCGGGAAATTAGGGCCAAGAGAAAGATGAGAAGGGCGTTGTTGAAACTAAAGCTCATGTAGGCATTGTATTTGTACGAAACTTATCTCCTCTCATATTTGGTAACGTAAGTTTGAAATTTTGATTGTGTTGTTTGCACTCACCACTTTTACGATCTGAATTGTTTCGGATTTGGTTAATTTATTTAGAATCTATACAGCATTGTATTCTGCTTGATTTTTTTTTATAAATAAAGGGTTAACTGCTTCGTATGTTCATGTCAAGATGAGTCTGATCATATGCTTGAGTCGAAATTGATTTTATGATCTGAATTTGGTTACAGAAGCTTTTAATTGCTTATTTGTTCGACTGGAAAATTCTTATGTATCAGGATAACAATAATGTGGTTTATTTCATGGTCCAGGAATTCTCAAATGGCAAACAACATCGGATTTCTGCAGTAATTGCCCATTGATCCAAAGACTTCAAATCCAATTCCTCGATTTTTTGGAGAAGAACGCGTGATGGAAGAGCGACCACTCGAAAATGACCTTGAACCTCGCATTTACAAGATAGAAAACGTAGGTCCTAATTTCAATTGATACATATGGTTTCTAGGGTTTTTAGTCGTCATATCCATTGGATGGTATCCGTTTTTTGTTGTGAGTCTTGAGTCGATAGGATCGCCATCGTGTCATTTTGCTAATTCTCATTTTTGGTGGTTTTGGACTGTCTCGGGTTGTGGCAGATTTGATGTGAGCTGTTCGGAACGTGAAGATATCTCGTGGAATTCAGACGATTCCTAGGCTGAAGTGAAAAGGCCCATGATTGCTTTGTTGAATTTGCAAAAGAAAACTCGTTGTGAGTTCACGAAAACTCGTGAGAACATTACTTTTTGATGGTAATGCTCTGTTGTCATCGATCACTCAAGGTATGATTTTTAGTTTGTTACCTTTGGTGTTTTGATTTTTTTGGGTTTTTTTCGATTTTTCTAAGGTTTATGTTTCTGATTTGTTGCTGAACTTTCTTGGCACCATGATCAGTAGCACTAAGAATTTAATGTTCAAGGTTTTTTTTTTAGTTTCAAGGCTTTTTAAGTTAAGAGATTAGCTAATGTGTCTGTTGCTTATTTCAGATTTTATGGTTTGTGTTAAATCGTAGATCATGCAAAAGCTGTTCTTTGTGTTTCTTTTATTCCTGATGGAAAGCAATAAGCAAGTGGTTCAGGTAACACTTTTGTCAGGCTTTCCGATCTCAACACTGAAACTCCATTTTTTTACTTGCGAAAGTTAGAAGTTTCCCTCACCATCATTCTTCATTTTACTTCCTTCGTAGTTTCCTACTACTAATTATAATTTTTTATTTGTAAATGAGTAAAAAGAAGAGCAATTTTGGAACACCTTCACAATCCTTTAGTGTAAAATTATTTGGTTTAGGTTTATGTATATATATTCAGGTGTGGGGAAAAGTTGCTTGTTACTACGTTTCTCAGATTATACTTTCACTACAAGTTTCATTACTATCATTGGATATGTTTTCTTTTACAATGGTAGTTTATTTCAGGATTGTCTAATTATTGATTTTTGTGTCTAAGTTTGTGTATTACTACCTTTTTTTTGGTTCTAGAATTAACTTCAAGATAAGAAGTAAGAACTGTTGAACCTGATGGGAAGCATATCAAGTTGCAGATATGGGATCCAACTCGTCAAGACCATTTTAAAACTATAACTACATGTAATAACTAATAAGACAGATTTCACGTTGTTGCTTGCAAGTGAACGATCTTTAGATGGTATGTAGATTCTGACTTATGCTTCTACTTCTATTGGTTGATTGATTAATGATTCCTTACTCTTGTCTTGATGATAACTTGAATGTTTCCATACTTTCAAGAAGTAAAAGAAAATTCATTTGTTGTATGCAGTTTCTTTAAAGCGTTTTAAACCCTTTCTTTTCCTGCAGCATATTACAGGGGAGCGATGAGTATACTCCTTCTCTACAATGTAACATACGAGTCATCCATCAACATTATATCTTTGTTTTTTCCTGTGTGTCTTGTTATTATTTTATCTTATAAAGTCAATTTTACAATGACATTGGGAAAATGGGATTGTCAGACCTGTAGCAATTTAATACGATTCTTACAATTGCAATTAGAAGCTGGATGAAGAACTTTGAGCAACATGCCTCAGATAATGTCAACAAAATTTGGTTGGTAACAAAGCTAACATGGATGAAAGCAGAAAGGTATGTATTCTTAAGTTGAATGTCTTGACTTTTAGTTTGTAGTATACTGATGCATGATCTGCTTCTTTAGGCTGTCCCAACAGCGAAGGGCCAAGCTTTAGCTAATGAGCTATGGAATCAAATTATTTGTGACGGGAGCTAGATAAAACATAACATGTATGCAATTTTTCTTTATTGTGTTCTTTAGATTATCGATGTGATTACATTGTTGCAAAGTGCGAAAACAAACCTCATTGTCAGATATGGTTTCTTTCCAGTCGCACTTGCTGTGACTTGTGTCAAATGTGACGGAATTAATTATTTATTCAAGATATGTTTGGAATAAGAAGCCAGCTTTCTTGGACCATTTAGAAATACAAATTCTAATACATCTTCAACCTATATATAAGTTCCTCAAAGATTTAAGGTAGAAGAACATGCAACTTTATGTTAAAAAGAAAAAACGAGATGTTTCGGAAGCTGCTTATATACTAGACTAGATAGTGACAATAACTAAACAAACTTATCCAAGAACCAAGAACATCAATTTGAGAAAATGAAGAGATTTTTTTTAATACAAATGTTGTGTCATAGTTTAGATCTTTAGTGTTTTAAAAGAGAGTTATAAATTTAAGTTCTAAGGATATAGAACCAAAAAAAACAAAAAACTTGAATTAAAAAAAAACTGAAATTTACCCAGATTGACCCAAATCTGGAGATTAATAACTTGTAGATTAAAAAACTGCAAATTTTTGTTTTTTTTTTTTCAAATGTAACAATAGCTGGATTTCTTTTACGAATACATGTATTTGACTACAATTACTTGATACATTATAAAACATGATATAAAATAATGTTAGATAAATTCTTTTTTTTTTAATAGTTAACCATATAAACCCGCACGTAGTGCGGGTATTCACCTAGTTCTTGTAATATAAGCCACACATGCATTCAAAAGTAACATATAATAAAACCTCTATAAACTAATACTCGATAAATAAATAACCTCCACAAATTAATAAAAATTTTTAATTCCGAGTTGGGATCAGTGTAAAAAATGACACAAATCGATAAAATAATAAATAATTACTTTTTTGAAAATCTTATGTAGACATATGGTCCCATCAATATCATAAATTAATAATTTTATAAACTTATCAAATAGACAGACAAACAATCATAACAAAACCCTCTTGAGATCAAATACTGGAGGAAGTTCTAATACTTGGCCTCTTCTGGGTTTCTTTCAAATCTCTCATCCTTTACTAAGAAGTCTATACCCTTCTACCAATGGTGATAATGCATATTCAGGTCTTTGCAGTGCTTTTACAGATTCTGTGGATAAAACTCGCCAAGATGAGAAAATGGCTAGAGATAAGCAGCAAAGACGAAGATGAAGCTTGTACATTAGATGATGCTACTAGTTGCTCCAAATTAGAGCCTCCAACTATTTACATATTGCTTCAGGCAAACTCGATCCAGCTCATTCCAGATTGTTTTGCCCCTAACTTCTTAGCGGCTTCTCTCACTTCACTTAACTGATCCCACATGCCCAACGTAGCATAAGCATTGGAAAGAGATGTATAAACCGATGGATCTTCCGGAAAAGCCTTGAGCAATTTCTCAGCAATTACAGTAATCAGTCCCGCATTCTTGTGAGTTCCGCAAGCAGTGAGCAGAGACATCCATATTGTTTTATCGGGTTCCAAAGGCATTTTGTTTATCAAATCTTCTGCCTCTTGGAACCGCCCAGCTTGACCAAGAAGATCAACTACGCAATAATAATGCTCTAGATACGGTTCAAGACCATATTCAGATTTCATCGTTTCGAGGATTGATCTTGCTTCTTCAAGCAGTCCAGAATGTCGGCAAGCAGAAAGAAGACCCAAAAAAGTTACCTCATTTGGTTCAACTCCAGAATTGATCATCTTGTGGAAATATAGAAACGCTTCTTCGACTCGTCCGTTTTGTCCGAATCCAACAATTATCCCCGTCCAAGAGACAACATCTCTTTCCAACATACCATCAAACAACACTACACCATTGTCTATCTCACCACATTTTACATACATATCTACTAGTGCTGTCGCTGTGACAGGTTCTGATTCATAACCTTTCTTTACACACAACCCATGAATTTGCTTACCACATCTAAGAGACGCTAAACTCGAACAGACTTTGAGAATACTTGAGACGATGAACTGGTCGGCATTGAGTCCCAACTTGATTAATTCCCTGAACAGATAAAATGCTAAAGAATTGAACCCTGATTTCACACAGCCTCTTATCAAGCCAGAGAAAGCGATGATATCTTTATTTGGAAGCCTATGAAACAGCTTATGTGCTTCTTGTATATTCCCAACGTTTGCGTGTAGATCAACAAGAATGCTTCCTACAATGTAATCCAACTCATAACCACTGACTACAACTAAACTATGTACCTGAAGCCCGAGTCTTAGGTTGACTAAGTTGATACATATCTTTAAGGCAGCGCTTAGAGTGTAGGAATCAAAACACAAATCTGACTGATACATCAGCAAAAGCAGCCCTAATGCCGCTTCATTCTCTTCGTTAATCAGAAACCCAGAGAGCATTGAATTCCAAACAGCGACGCTATAACAGAGGACCCGTTTTTCCAGATGAAAAATATCAGCTGCATCTCTTAGAGAACCACAGTTCGAGTACATATCAATAAGAGCAGAGAGTGCGAACGGGCTAGACTCCAGACCCGACTTTACGACACAGGAATGCAGCTGTTTACCCATTGTTAATAAGGCACCAAAACTGCAAGCTTTAAGGCCACACGGTAAAGCAAAACCGTCTAACACAAGTCCTTCTCTCTGCATCCTAACTAGAAACTCCAACGCACGAGGACTACCCTTATCGACAAATCCCGAGATCAAACAGTTCCAAGACACAATATTTGGCTGCGGAATTCGATGAAACAAACTAACCGCCTCCTCAACCATACCTGCTTTACAATAACCAGAAATAAGAGTGTTCCACGAAGTTAAATTAGGCCGTGGAATCTCTGAAAAACTGTTCTTAGCTTCACTAAGTCTCCCATTCTTAACATACATATCTACAACACTATTCATCAAAACAACATCACCTTTCAAATTCTCTTTACAAATCCTTTCATAAACCAAACTCCCCAACTGAATATCACCCACTAACCCACAAGCTTTCAAAACCGCAGAATACATAAACTCGTTAGCCGCTTCTTCTTCCGATTCCAACATTCTTCTGTATAACTCAATAGCCTTACTGGGTTTTCCATCACAAGTATACCCAGAAACCATCGTAGTCCAAGTGACAATATTTCTCTCAGTCATTTCATCGAACACTTTATGTGCATCACTCAACAACCTAAAATCAACATACATTGAGATCACGTTATTCGCAAGAAACACATTTTGAGAGATCCCTTGTTTGATTATATGAGCTTGAATTGATTCTCCACGCTTAAAAGCTTGTATTTTCCCATAATGACGTAATCCTGCTGCTATAAGCTTCAAGTCCATAGCCAATTTTCCAGTACGAATTTCAACAATTCATTACAATTCCAAAAATAGTCTTAACGTTAAACGGAAGGTAGTTTATTTAGAAAAACCAAAAACAGCACGCTGTTTAGTACGGGGAATGAAGACAACGGAAGGTAGTTTATCTAGGAAAAACAAACACGGCACGCTGTTTAATACGGTAGACCGTAAAACGGTAGGTAGTTTATTTGGAAAAAACAAAAACGGCTGTTTAATAAGGGAAATGAAGACAGTAAAACGGCAGGGAGTTTGTTAGGAAAAGAAAAAACGGCACGCTGTGTCAGTGGCTGATATATTAATAACCATAATTGTAAAAAAAAAAAACAAAAAAAAATCAGATCTGAAAATTTCGCCGTCGTCTTCCTCCTCCTCCACGAGCTCCTCTTTCACGAAGCTTCAATCTCCAGGTAGGTTTTTTTCTGGTTCTTTTGTTCTGGTATTATTGTGTTTGCAATGGCTTCGAGTTCTGTTTCCAATTTGGAGATTTCAATTTCAATTTCAATTGTAGATTTTCTTTTTGTATATAAACTGAATCCTTGAATAATCGAAGAATATATTCACTGAAAAAACTTATCTTCTTAGTCTAATAAGACTTTACATTGATAATCTATGGATTCTAGATGTTAAATTGTTCTAAATCCTAGGTAGATAGCTGTTGCTTGTATATACTAATGTTGTTCTTTGTTATTTGTCAGATGAAAATGAAAGATAGTCGTTGCACAATCATACGCTTTGATTACGGAGGATGTTATTCGAAGAACGGAGATGACGTACGATGGAATCCGAAAGAAGATCAAATTTATACTTTAGTGATGAAAGGATCTTTCGAAGAGTTTACTTATTCTGTGTTGGTTGATAGGATATGCAAGAAAATTAGGGTAGATGAAGCGACGACGACGATGTTGAAGTTAAGTTACGTTCCGTTGCTAGAGGATCCTAAGAGGCAAACTTATATTTTGGATGATAAAGATGTTTTAGGATATTTAATGGAAGGAGATATTAATCAGCGGAGAAATGTTTTGCATGTGGAACTCATTGAAGGTGTCGATCAAAACCAGAGTTGGGAGCGAGAGGATGGAAGAAGTGGAATTGATGTAAGGAATGAGGAGATTGCGGATGATGAGTTGTTGGCAAATGGTGAAGAAGTTGCGTACATGGATAATTATGGGATGTCTGTTGATGATGTACAAGCTGATGAGGTTGTGAATCTTGAATGGGAAGATGGTATTGGTTTGACTTTAGGTCAAGAGTTTGAGAGTAAGCAGGAAGTTCAGGATTTAGTTGAGAAAGCTGAACTTCAGAATTGTTTTGAGGTTGCTATATTCAAGTCATCACCTGGACTATACGTGTTAAGATGTCGTGGTAGTGGTTGTAAATGGTATCTACGAGTTGCAAAGGTTAAGAATTCGGATCGTTTATCTGTTAGAACTTACAACAAGATGCATACATGCTCTCCGGTAACTACAACTAGAAGAAGAGATAAAAGAATAGCCACACCACAATTAGTTGCATCTCTTTTGCTAGAGGATTATCGAGATGTATTCGACACTCTAACTCCAAAAAACCTCATACATTTGGTTCAAGAAAAACATGGTGTTACGGTTTCATACGCTACTGCTTTGAGAGGAAAAAAACAAGCTGCAAGGGATGTGCGGGGTCATTTACACACTCCGTGAGATGGAAGAAAAAGTTATGCGTTTGCATTTGTTCCTGATCATGCATCTGTTTTTTTTTCTGATCACATCATCCAACCAAACGATATTACCTTTGGTCAATAACCAAACGTTGAGGATTTAGTTGAAAAATGTCGGGTTTAGGAGTAGTTGAATGTGTATATTCATCGCGAACTGTGTACTCTTGCAAAGTTCAAGAGTCTAAAAATGTCTACTGCTTTGGAAATCAATCTTTTGCTGGCATCATTAACTTTGGATCCTTACAAATACCAAGTAATCAAATTGTGCGATGACTGACGCAGTGTTTAAGAGCCAAGCCACAACCGTGGCATTGCAAAGCTAATACAAACAATGTAAGCCTTCTCCGCGGGTTTCAAATTCGAATTGACACATCTACCTTCCAGTGACTATTTTTTGATTTTTCACTTGTAAAAATTTAATTACGAGCTACTAGAGGTGAATTTCAGACTTCAAACGTTCTCAGTGTCTAAATACAAAAAGCTTTGATTAGACCCAAATACAAATACACCAGAATCTTCGTTCCTTGCTTCCTCAAATTACAAAGCATCGTTTCAACACTATATAATATGTATATATGATATTTCCCTTGGTTTATTCTTGGACGCTCCAAACGAATCAAGGCTTAGCCACAGCACGAGCCACATGCCGGTAGGGAATCTGAAAAACCACCAATAAAATTTTCCGTTATTCAGAATCAAGTCAAAATCAAACTAAGAATCATTCACAAGGTCTATATGTGCTTTCTATCATCAAAAGGATCAAATATCAAACTCATCGCGGGTTACTTACTGTGGTCAGCTCCACGGATATCATTCAAGCCACGCACATTGTCGAGGCCCCCACGAGGAGGTCCACCACCGCTACCACCACCACCGCCACCACCACCGCCCCCACCCCCCATGCCACCCCACTTCTTGTTAGCCTTAGAACCTTTCCTGTATGCATCTGATTTCTCCATCTGCCCAATAACTCTCAGGTAAGTCAACGCTTGTGACAGGTTATGGAACCTAACTCCAAGAAATGGAAGAAGAATCTTACCGAGAACATGGTTACAAAGAAGACTTGTATCAGATTAATGATGGACAAGAAGAAATCTTTGATCGTCCTTAATCTCCATATTGGCCGCTTCGCTTTAACCACACCTGGTACATGTTCCAAAGTTAGTCAATGTCAAATACACTTAATATTTGCTATACATCTATGTTTTCAGAAACGCTAACTATCAAAACCCCAAAAACAGATATACAGATTTGAGGAATTTTTCGCTTCTCTTCTCTCCCCAAAAATTGTGTTAATGGAAGCTCCTAAATTACCTATAAGTACCCAAAAACCCGTCCCAAACTCCGACAACTAATCTCTACAATGGCAGAAGAATGTAAGCATGTACATAGCATTATATCTACTACTGTAGAAATCGCATTTACCAAAACATCGTTGCTTGCCTACACTCATATCAAATTATCTCTAGGAGACATAACCTCTATGATTCACAAACTATTGAACATGAACTCGCTTAGGCTAATGTTAGTTTTAACAATCACTCAGCCAGAATCTGCCCATTCACTAACTTCTCCCAATATACATTGCTTAAAAGTTTACACTTGTTTGAATTTTAAACCTGAATAACACAACTTAGATATTAGAAGTCTAGAAATGTCTCATGCTACGAAATCTTCATCGAGCTTTCTATCGAATTAGTTCTCTGAGAATCGTATAATAACTGAATGATTATAGACCTAATCCAATTTCCATATTCCATAAAACTATAAACTTTCTAATAATGGAAACACATAATCCCAAATCAAAAATCGAAACCCCTTTAACCATTCATATGATCAATCCAAATTCAGGGATATAAAACCTAATTTCCATATACATCAAAATCACAAATTCTGTAACAATCAACGCTCAATAGTTATAAATCCAGAATCTATGCTCAATGAAAGAACAATAACAAGATTGATTGAAAACTTGAGACAAATCAATTTGAGGATTGAAAAACGAATAATCAGATCAAATTTTAACCAAATCGATGACACAAGGGGGAATGAAGAAATCGAAAAGAAACAGAGAGATCTAAGAGATTCTCATACCTCCTTCGACGTATGCCATTGAAGTAAAAATCTGGGTTCTTCTTCGTCAACAACAAATTTCCAGAGACTTAATTGATTAATACTACCACAATAAGCGATTAAGCTAGATTGACTTATATCGTCCTTGGACTCTTTTACGCGTTTGTGTTTCGAAGTTTCGCGATGTCTACGTGGATTTGCCACGTGTCACATTCTCATTGGAAATCTGTAAGGAAAATTTGGATGTATAACCAACAAAAAAATATAAATTAAGAAACTTGTTATAAATAATTACTTTATTTTATGGTGTATATAAATATAAATAATGGAGAAAGAATTTATACCCGCAGAAGGATCGGGATACTGAAAATAAAGAGACGAGAGAAGGAGAAAGATTTCGTATAACTTCTTATTGTTGAAGTATGAATTGTAATTTTACAACGAACGAAATCGTTCGTTTATATAGACGTAAAAAAGTAAATTACTATGCGTGCATAGTGACGGTGGGCTCCACACATTTTACGTAAACAATTGCGGCTGCCTGACTTCTTTGATTGTGGCTGCCTGACTTCTTTGACATTTGTAACACTCCCCCTTGGAGACCAGTGTCACTATTGTCTTGTGTAATGTCTTATGTTGTCTCGTTAAAAACCTTTCTAAGTAAACCCAGTGGGAAAAACCTTAGTAGGTAAAAAGAGTACAACGACGTAGTCTCCCCCTCGAGTGATCAACTTTACAGATCTCGTTGGTGGCGCATTCCAATAGCATAGATATGCTTCTTGAACACCGAGGTAGGTAGTGATTTTGTGAAGAGATCTGCAGCATTGTCACATGATCGGACATATTTGACTTCAATGTCTTTATTCTTCTCAAGTTCTTGGGTGTATGAAAAGAATTTCGGAGGGATATGTTTGGTTCTATCACTTTTGATATATCCTTCCTTCGTTTGGGCAACGCATGCAGCATTATCTTCATATAGGATGGTTGGCTCTTTGTTTGTGTTGATCCCACTGCTTGATTGTATGTGTTGGCTTATTGATCTCAACCATACACATTCTCTACTTGCTTCATGAAGTGCAATGATTTCAGCATGATTTGAAGAAGTAGCCACAAGCGTTTGCTTCTGGGAACGCCAGGATATAGCAGTGCCTCCGATTGTAAAGACATATCCAGTCTGTGATCGGGCTTTATGTGGATCTGATAAGTATCCCGCATCTGCAAAACCAACCATTTGCCCTTTTGAATTTTTAGGATAAAATAATCCTAAATTTATCGTCCCTTGAAGATATCGGAAGATATGTTTAATCCCATTCCAATGCCTTCTCGTAGGAGATGAACTGAATCTTGCCAAAAGATTAACGGCAAATGATATATCAGGTCTTGTACAATTCGCAAGATACATAAGGGCTCCAATTGCACTTAGATATGGTACTTCAGGACCAAGTATCTCTTCATTTTCCTCATGCGGTCGAAATGGATCACTCTCAACGTTAAGTGATCTAACGACCATAGGAGTACTAAGAGGAGTTGCCTTATCCATGTTGAATCGTTTTAGCACTCTTTTAGTATACGTGGATTGGTGCACAAATATACCCTTTTGGGAATGTTCAATTTGTAGGCCAAGACAAAACTTTGTTTGTCCGAGATCTTTCATCTCGAATTCCCCTTTTAAATAGTTTGTTGCTTTCTGTATTTCATCTTGAGTCCCAATTATATTTAGATCATCAACATATACCGCGATTATCACAAATCCATATTTTGTTTTCTTGATGAAAACACATGGGCATATAGGATCGTTCACGTATCCTTCTTTCGTTAAATGTTCACTGAGACGATTATACCACATTCGTCCAGATTGCTTTAACCCATATAATGATCTTTGCAACTTTATTGCACATAACTCTTTTGGTTTAGATTTCAATGCTTCTGGCATATTAAACCCGTCGGGAACTCTCATATAGATATTTGTATCTAATGATCCATACAAATATGCTGTAACAACATCCATGAGACGCATTTCTAAATTTTCATCAGCCGCTAGACTCATCAAGAATCTAAACGTTATTGCATCCATAACGGGGGAATATGTTTCCTCATAATCAATCCCGGGTCTTTGAGAAAATCCTTGAGCTACGAGACGAGCCTTGTATCTCGTAATTTCATTTTCCTCATTTCGTTTTCTAACAAAACCCATTTGTATCCAACCGGTCTCACATCTTCAGGTGTGATTACAATAGGTCCAAATACATTCCGCTTATTGAGCGAATCAAGTTCGACTTGTATTGCATCTTTCCATTTTATCCAGTCATGTCTCTTTTGACATTCATATACAGACTTTGGTTCTGGATCCTCGTTTTCCTCATCAATTTCCTTTGACAAAAGGTATGAGAAAACGTCATTAACTTCATCCATTTTATTTCGATCCCAGATCTTTCCATTATGGATATAGTTGATAGAAATCTCATGGTTTCCTTCAGGCTTATGATGCTCATCATTGTCATTAGACTCATGATTTGTTTCTTCCAAAATGCTTTCTGCTATTTGGGAATATCTTGCTTTTCAACTTCCTTTCATTTTCTAGGATTTTTATCCTTAGCACCAACTGGTCTACCACGTTTCAAACGTGTTTTAGACTCACGTGTATCATTTGCTCCTCCACGTTCATGTGGGATTTCAATTCGAGCAGGAACATTTGCAGCTGGTATATATGATTTAGTTACCGTTTTGGTATCTGCAAAAGCATCGGAAAGTTGATTTGCTATACTTTGCAAATGCACAATTCGTCGAACTTCTATTTCTGACTGTTTTGTAGGAGGATCAAGGTGTAACAGGGATGGTACACACCATTTAATTTCTTTTCCTACTTGCTTATTTTCTCCCCCTAGAACCGGGAATACTTTCTCATCAAAATGACAATCGGTAAATCGTGCCGTAAAGACATCACCAGTCTGCGGTTCTAGGTATCTTATAATTGATGGAGAATCACAGCCAATATATATTCCCAACCTTCTTTGTGGTCCCATTTTTGTACGTTGTGGGGGTGCTATAGGCACATACGCCGCACAACCAAAAATTCTTAGATGGGATATATTTGGTTCTCGACCAAATGCTAATTGTAGTGGGGAGTATTTATGGTATGCACTTGGTCTTATCCAAATGAGTGCTTCTGCATGTAAAATGGCATGTCCCCATACAGAGGTTGGAAGTTTTGATCTCATGATCAATGGTCTTGCAATCAATTGCAGACGTTTAATTAATGATTCCGCCAAGCCATTTTGTGTATGAACATGAGCTACAGGATGTTCAACTTCAATTCCTGTTACCATACAATAATCATTGAATGCTTGGGATGTGAATTCACCAGCGTTGTCTAGTCTAACTCTCTTAATGGAATAATCAGAGAACTGAGCTCTTAATTTGATTATCTGAGTTATAAATCTCGCAAATGCCAAATTTCGAGATGACAATAGACAAACATGTGACCATCTGCTAGATGCGTCAATCATTACCATAAAATAGTGGAATGGTCCACATGGTGGATGTATTGGTCCACAAATATCGCCTTGAATTCGTTCAAGGAACGTTGGTGATTCTTTATCAATTTTGGTTGGCGATGGCCTTATGATCAACTTTCCAAGAGAACATGCTGCACATGTCATTTTATTCCCATGATATATCTCCTGGATTTTCAATGGGTGTCCATGTGAGCTCTCTATGATTTTTCGCATCATCGAGGTGCCTGGATGACCGAGGCGATCATGCCATAATGTGAAATCTTCTGGATTTCTTTTAATCTATATATACATTTTTGGATGACTTTTAGCAAATAAATCCTGGAGTTGGGATGTATTTACAAAGAATGCCATTGGTTGGGTGGGTTTTTTTTAAAAAACGAGTGACCCGGTTTGTTTCAATCGGATATTTCCGAAATTTTTGCCTCCAACAATAAATGAATTTCGTTATAAATTAATGAGACAATATACAAAATAGATTTAGGAAATCAAAACCAATTCAATATTGTTTCAATCGGATATTTCCGATTCTTTTTCCTGTAACAATAAAAGAAATTCGTTATTAATTATGAGACAATATAAGCAACAGATCTAGGAAATCAAAACCAACTCAATATTAATTAACTTCCTTAAATTAATCCACATAGATATTAAAAAAATATCTCCTAAGAAACGATTTGCTATATTGCCATAAAATAAGCATCCTAACAAAACTAAATTACGTTATCATAATTACATATCTCCCAACTTTCTTCTTTTCCAATATAATTAATTCAAAACAATAAATCCCACGAAATCTTGAATGTGCACCATCCAAAATAGATATATAGATTCCAATATCTACCTAATAATCTTCAACATTAATCTTTAACAAATCAATTTCCTAATTCCAACCGCATAAAACTGGTATATTCCTAACAAACATAATATACTCAAAGATATTATTCCAAAAATTAATCGGTACGTAACCTAATTCTTTTTCCCTATATATACTCTACTACTAAGCACCAATACCTCTCACAAAACTCAAAAGCTCTTTAACCCGAAATTGAATACCTTTTACCTCATAGCAATGGTTTCTACTTTTGCTCCAAACGCTCAGATTGATGAGGTTCTCAAACGTATAAGCAATGAAGATTCAATGTTCATGGCTTGGTTGACTTTGAATAGGAAAAATGCTCTTGGAAAGAAAGGTAAACGTGCTCGAGAACTTTTATATTCTGAAATCCCAGCATATTTTACTTGGGATGGAAAAAATAAGCAGTGGAAAAAGAGATCAAAAGGTTTTGCTTTGGGTCCTATTAACTATGTCCCTAGGAAAATGGAAGATGAGTACTATCTTAGGGTGCTGCTAAACATAGTAAGAGGTCCTATGAGTTACGAAGATAGTTAACTCCATCAAACGAATCCATTGAAATAGCCATTACGTCATTGCAAACTCTTTGTTCCTATCGTCTTTATCAACTGAATATATGATCTTTATTCAGGTTTAAAAATAATCAGGTTATTCTTTGTCTAAGTAGTACTATTTTCAGTTTCATCACAAACTTCAGACATTTTTTGCAATGAGAATTTTTAATTATCACTACCTCTGCTACACAAAATTGATAAATCTTATAGCT